CCCAACGGCCTCAAGCTTAACATGAGAGCCACATACTCTAAAATCTCCCATGAGGCCTTGACCACATGCCCGCACCCTGCGTTCTCCAGCCTGGTGTTTGTTCTTGCCTTCTTCCATGCTGTGGTGCAAGAGAGACGGAAATATGGAAAAATTGGCTGGAATGTCCCATACGACTTCAGCGAGTCTGACTTTTCTGTAAGTTGCACATTAGTCTAAGATTATTTTGAAAGTATGTTTACACTACCGGTCAAATGTTTTAGAACACCCCAATTTTTCCATTTTCTTTAATTGAAAATTATGCAGTTTAATGTCTCATTGAACTCTGATATAAAAGAATAGTACAAATAAGGAACTGGAGTTAAAAAAGAAATCATGGAATTAATTTATAGACAATAATGTATTCTAAACTTTTGACTCATCTAAGTCTCCACCTTTGGCAGATATAGCAGCTGAACACACATTTCTTTCTACAATAGAAATCAAATATTCTTCAGAAAGTTCTCCCCATATCTGTTGCAGAAGTTGATGCAGAACAACTTTAAATTGTTAACCCATTTTATGTTCCCTGAAAAAGGCCTTTTTGTATAATTCTAAAATGTACATTATTTTTCAAATTTTAGTCACCTTACCTTTTTTTCTTTTCTACCTCTGGCAGTTCACCACTTACCTTTGTACCATTTCAAGCTATTCATTGGACTTGAATGACTTGAATTGCAATAAATAACTGGAAGAACTAGGTTGCTCTAAAACCTTTGACCGGTATATTTTAAATTAGTTTATGAGTGGTATAATATTTGCTGTATTTCACTTTTCAGTAGTTTAAACATAGTATCTGTGCTCTGACAGGTGTGTATGGAGATCCTGAACACCTATCTGACAAAAGCTCATGACCAAGGAGACATCAATATACCCTGGGGAAGTCTTAAATATCTTACTGGGGAGGTTAGTGGGGGTGAATTCGTTTATATTGTACATTTGAATAGTGTGCATCTGTTATACTACTACATGCTGTAAGTTTGGTGTAATTTATAATGTTTTGTCAGGTAATGTATGGCGGCCGAGCAATAGATAGCTTTGACCGCAGGATCTTGACTGTCTACATGGATGAGTACTTTGGAGACTTCCTCTTCTACACTTTCCGGCAGTTCCACTTCTTCAAAAACAAAGATGTAGATTACAAAATCCCTCCAACTGGACCAAAAAACGTCTATGTTGGTCAGCAGTTGTTTTCTTATTTCTCAAATTCTCTCACTCATAAAAAGGGGAGGGGGGAAATTTTCTGTCATCATTTAATGCTTTATGCTGTTAATGTGCTACAGATGAGATTGAAGCCATGCCACTGGCAAACACACCAGAGGTTATGGGTCTCCATTCCAACGCGGAGATAGGATACTACACAAATGCAGTTAAGGAGATGTGGACTCACCTGATAGACCTTCAACCTCAGACAGGTATGATTTTGCATCTTTCAGCTCATCCCTTGAAGTAATATATCCTGTTTTTCAGAAGTAGAAGCATTTATTTATTTCCATATGCTTTCTTCTTAGTGGCTGATAAATACTCTCTCATATCTCAGGTGAATCTGGTGGACACATCAGCAGGGATGAGTACATCAGCCAGGTGGCCCAGGACATTCAGAACAAGCTCCCGCAGTTATTCGACATGGATGTGATCCGGAAAAAGTTTGGCATGGACATTTCTCCGACCTCGGTGGTTCTCCTTCAGGAACTAGAGCGCTTTAACAAACTGGTGGTCCGCATGCAGCTCTCTCTGGCTGAGCTGCAGAGGGTGAGATGGAGGGGCTGAAGACCCAAGATGCTCAGTAAATTAATCTGCAGGTGTTGTATACTTGTGCTTTGCTCCGATTGGGATTTGTTTAGATTCTCCTGTGTGCTGTAGGCCTTGGCTGGTGAGGTGGGGATGAGCAGCGAGTTGGACGAGGTCGCTCGATCCCTTTTTAATGGTCACATTCCGGTCATTTGGAAGAAGCTGGCACCTGACACTCTTAAGTCTCTTGGTAACTGGATGTCCCATTTCAAGAGGCGATATGAGCAGTATAACTGTTGGGTAAGGATGACCCCATTTAATTTTTTTTTAAAAATAATTTTTCTACCATAACATTTTACAGTTAACAAATGACTTGTGCTTTGAATATACTTTCAAGTTGGTGTATTTTGTGCTCACCAGGTGAATGAGGGCGAGCCAAAGGTTATGTGGCTGTCAGGATTACATATCCCTGAATCTTACCTCACTGCTCTGGTCCAAGCTGCGTGCAGGAAAAATGGGTGGCCTCTGGATCTCTCAACACTGTACTCAGAAGTTACCCATCACCAGAGTGAGGATGAAGTCGCCGAAAGACCCAGACAGGGTAATAATCAGAGCTCATCACTTGCAGCATGAGCAGCGAGTAGTTGTAAAGACTGACAGTCTCATTCCCTGCAGGTTGCTTTCTGTCCGGCCTGTATCTGGAAGGAGCCGACTGGGACATAGAGAAGTGCTGCTTAGTGAAGAGTAAACCAAAAGTTTTGATCGTTGAACTGCCCATCCTCAGAGTCGTCCCCATAGAGACGCGCCGCCTCAGGCTACAGGTGTGGACAGCAAGCACAACAGAACTCCACACTAATTTATAGCTCATTATTGAATGCATCTATTTAATGATATTTTTGTGTGTTTTGCACCTCAGAATACGCTGCGGACACCTGTCTACACCACTTCGTTGCGGAGGAATGCAATGGGTGTGGGCTTGGTGTTTGAGGCAGACCTGTTCACCACCATGCACCTTTCTCATTGGGTACTCCAGGGAGTCTGCTTGTGCCTCAACACTGACTAAAGACAACTGTCAACGCCACTGAGCTGATTACTTGTAGCATAGTCAGCTGAAAATGTTAGTTAACGATAGCAATGTCTGCTTCCTGCTTCATGTAGAAAAATACTTAAACATAGCCTGTGTAATACATTTTATTTTATTGTTGTTTTATAACTTTAATTATTTGCCTCACTAGATGGCAGCACATAACAGAGGCAGTAGCTTCAGGCTGATCAACATCTCTAGGGATTTGTCTTTGAAGCTACGGTTGACTAATCTGCTGAAATGTTAAGGCTGTGAATGAATAAATAAATGGTTTTTACTTGTGTCGTGTAGGCTCAGAATCCCATTCGTGCTCTTAGAGGTCAGCAGATGAAAAATATTTCTGCTGATTTTGTAAAAAAATAAAAATAAAAAAAATAAACTGCTGCGTGCAGTGGAAACTTTAACAGTAACCAGAGGCAACCACAAGCAACTTTTTAGCTTTTCTCTGCAGTATAGGTAACGGGACATGTTTTATTACATCGTGCAAAGAGAAGATCCTGCACAGCACTGAGTAATCGAGGCTGCTGATGTGAGCATGCCAGCTCAGGTGAAGTAACCTCTAAAAACTCAGACGGTCCTAGAGGATGTGGCAGCTGGTGCAGCAGTGACGTTGCAGGTGCAGAAATAAAACTTGCAACAGTTTGGAGCCATAACTCACGCAGTATACATCGTGAAGTCCCAGGTATGAGAGTGGAGCTGTAATCATAGTAAGACTAAATTGCTTTGACTGAAGTCTTTATAAGCCAAACAACCAGCAGCATGAAATTGTTTTAGTTTCTTTAGTCTCTTCCCTGAAAAGTCCCAACCTGGTACACGATTACAATGTTTGTCATTACCATATTCTGCAGCCTAAAAGGATCTCTCTAAATGACAGAGGGGCAAAGGTTGAACAGGCCCCATTCTCACCTTCAACCGACACAAAAAGAGGGAAAATCAGGACATGTTTATGACCAAACACTGGGTGGGGGCAGGAGCAATTGTGTTTCCCTTTTTGAAAAGAGGGAATGAATGTTGTGTTGTGTTGTTTAATGAACCTTTACATCACTGGATGGAACTTTAGTAAAAGCAGACCTAAACAAACAATGGGCAATCTGGCTGTTTAACTTTGTACAATAAAGGGGAGGGAAATCATAAAAGTAAGAGTAACGACAGAAAAAGAAAAAAAAAAGAAACCCAGCTTGCTTCCTTAGAGGTCAAAATTATTTTCAGCTGCTCATGACTGCAGGGATTTACATTAACCCTAAACTGCTCTAGTTCCTGCTTGGCACCATTGTTTGCCCCGAGTGGCCTCGTAAAAGCGCCAAGGGTGCCCAGGAACAAATCCCCTCCCATGTGTGGTGATTGGGAGCAGGTGGGCTCATTAAGAGCCAGTAAAGTCAATGCACTGTTTTCCCCATTCTCCCTGTGGCATGGTGAGGAACAGGAATTAATCCCAGTCCTCTTCTGTGACTGTGAAAGTGCTAACATTATCTTTCAGTAGTTAAGAACTTAGCACAAAACTTTAGTAGACTGTATTAACAGGTTAGATAAGCACATTTTGCTGCCTGCAGCATCTTTTGCAGCTGGCCAGACTTAAGCCCAAGGGCTGCAATCACCACAGTCACAGACATATACAACTCATGTCCTAGTTTTTGGTTGCAGTGCCAGGTGTTTACTTTGGAGAAGGACCACAGATCTGTGGCTACTGGCTGTCCCAGATGCAATGGGCAGTGGGAAATGACACTAACCTCAGTTTTCTCTAACCACTGGGTACTGATGTCTTTGACAGACTACACCTGCTGAAAACAACTCAGGGGCAAACACAGACAGACAGACAGACAGATAGATAGATAGATAGATGTTGTTGATGATGTTATAAATAGGTTAAACTAACTGCGTTATATTTTAAATAAAGAAAGATGGTTGCATAGTATTCAAAATGTTCAAAAAAAGGTTTATAACAGATGTGATTAGCCTTAGCTGGGGGTTTAAACTCGTCATATCCAGTATTATCAAAACTTTTCGTTTCTTTTCTTTAAACATTCCGTTTTATTTGGTTTAAATGGGGGCCTAACTCTCACTAGCACCGCGCCTGTGATTTCAGAGGAGCCTTGAGAATCAGCAGCCCATAATTCATTTAGTGCAAACAGTACAATGCGTTAAGTGCCGTCGCTTTGTCCTCTGTGAGAAGTTGAAACGGGGCAGGGTAAAAAGAGACCCAGCAGGCTGTGCTTTTAAAAGACCGGAGGAGACTATAAAACTGGTTTCATACCCGCTGCTGTAAAGGATCGGCACGATATGAGCGCAGACAGACGGAGGTAGGCAGAGCACACTCAGGGAAGGGAGGACAGCACGCATTTCACACTCAGAGCATTCATGGTTCATTTTTATAAAGTCGGATCTCTGTCACAGACAAGCGTGGGTTTATGGGCTAGTTCACACTCAGCTCTATTACACATACATCGGGGGGTTTTTTTGTGTGTGTTTTCTACTTTAGTGAAAAGGATGAGCGTCTTCTCCAGTAGACCCGGCGCAGTTTGACACGTTTCCCGAGCTGGAGTCACTAAGCGGTCTGTTTTCCAAGCGGGGCCTCATTAAAACAGTTCTGCTCTTACTTTTGATGCCACGGAAATGGGATCGCACCAACGAGAGAGCGTGTCCGCGCTTTGCAGGAAAAGTTTGCTTTGGACAGTGCTGATACTCTGGCTGAGCACGCTGGTTAACGGGACCTGGAAGACGGGACTTTACAAAACCTATTCAGTCGGGACGCAGCTGAACAGAGACCAGACAGCAGCCACCCACAGCTCAGTCTACCAGAAAAGGTGAGGAAAGTACGCACAGCTGTCATATTGCACACAGAATACTTATATTAAGTTTTGTTTTCTATCTTGCTGCCACTGCATGCCTCCACGGATGTACTCCCATCTCCATCCATCTACCGGGCGCTATTGTCTTCCTGACAGTTGGTTTCCCTTTTCCTGTGCTGGCAAGCAGCATGTTTTTACTCTGCTGAGTCCCATCCACACTCTTGTCCCAGCTCACACACCTCTGCTGCCCCTGTGGCGTGTTATATGCTCTCTATCCATACAGCGCCTTTAGCCTCACACACAAAGCCCGCTCTTTTCAGCATCCCAAGGGTGAAGATTTCAAAAAAAGAGTGTTAAACCCTAAGTTTAAGGAGTGATTGATTATTTGTATCTCTATAATAAAGCGTGAAAACGTTTATCTTAAAGGATCACTGAATGAAAAGGGGGATAATAAGGCTTCAGAAAATGATGGATCATTCTGTGTAAGGGCAATCGAGTTGACAAGGGTGTTGAAAGAGAGTCACCAGACTAAACACGAAGGCAGGAGGGCTAACCGGCTCTGCTTTCCTCCTGGACAGAGCCAAGTTTAGTTGGAGACTAGCCACTGATTAATGATGAGAGGACGTTTCCCCATCTTGCAAATATTTATGCTGTCAGCTTGTGTGTGTGGGCTGAACGTGGCTGGAGGCTGAAATCCCTTCTCTCTGATGAGGTCTTCTGGGTGTGTTCAGGTGGTTTTCAGCGCCCCTTCGGTCACTCCACTGCCTCACTTCTCTGCTCAGCTCCCCCTGCCACTCAGAGCCAGAGGTTTGTGGACATGTTTGCTAAACACAAGCAGCTGGGACTCCAGCGCAATCTGAGCTTGTTTTGGGGGAAAAAAAGCAGAGGGGGATGAGTTTACAGTCAGTTTGCTGCTGTTAGTGTAAGTGGCCGTGCAGGAAAGGCAGGACTGAAAGAGGGAAAGCTGCTGTTGGTGTGAGTCAACCACCTTGTTCAGAGGTCACCGGGTTTGCAGTGACATGAGAGGAGCTGAAAGTCTCAGTCCACCTGCTGGCTGGCTGGCCTGATCGGTGAAAGCAGCAGTTTATTGGGTGTCAACAAACAGTAACAGCGGCGGTGTGATTTCAGAGATCAACCTCGGCGATGAAAGCAACCTGTCATTAGGGTTCAGGTGCTTAAAAGGAAACGCATATGACTGTTAGTGTACTGGGAAAGGGAAACCTTCACTAATACCAGCACTGTCTTCACACAGTGAATAGCACAATCAAAGGGGATTAACATCTTGTGGGTATTTTCTTTGCTGGTGCAGTCACTCTGTGAAAGAGCTGATAAAGCATTTCTTCACCATCTCTCTTAATGACTGCATAGCTCAGTAAACTGTGGGGTCACTGAGGGAGATGCTTCTTTAGTCCCTGTCTCGCCCAGTTCTTTATCCTCCCTCGGAGGACTTGTCATGGTCTGACAGGCAGTCTGAGCCCTGTGGCAGTCCTCATTCCTCGTCCATCTTGACCATATCCATGTTCACTTTAAGCATGGGAATGAAGACAACTGAGATTCCAGGATCTGCACGGCTTCAAGCAGAATGGCTGTGAAACTTCAAATGATGTGTATGCACAGGGAACCATTATTTGGATGGATGTCAAGAGGCAGTCACCAATTGTTCAGCTCCAATAATATCCACTGGCCGTTGATTACATTACTCAATTGAATTTGTTGCCTTTTTCTGTATTACATCACTGTCTTATCTTCTGTTTTTGGACGTGTCACTGGACAAAATATGAGATTCTTAAGACAGGATCTTGAACTCTTTTCTTCACGATTTACAGATTTTCATGTGTAATATCAGTCTTAAAACAAAGAATTAATTGTGGCAGCTCATCCTCCACAATGAGAAAAAAAATTGTTGGATTCCTGCTTATCAGATTGAATATTTGCTCATTTCTGTGGTTGTAGTCTGAGTTGCTTCAGTTTTTGGACAAAACAAGACATTGATGTCATAACTTTTAGCCGATTTTGTTTCCCGATGTCTTAGAGATTTGATACTTAGTATGAGCCTAATACCAGACCCCATATTGCATCCTGTGCACTGCAGGTGAGCAGTCCATAAAGTCAGCATCTCATTCACGGTCAGTGGAGCAGCTCAGCTCGACATGATGGTCCATTCACACTGAGCAGTCAGGATTCGTGGCGCTGTAGGTGTGATATGAGTGAATCCTTCATTTGAGTGGAATTCCTCTTTCACTTCCAGGTTCAAACACTTGAAGATGCCACAGACTGAAAACTCACAGGTGTCTGCACCTGAAAGCTCAAAGGAGACAAAGATAGATGAGAGTTTTCCTTGTTTATTCCATGCTGCTGTAAGGAGTCACTTAGCCCTGACCTTTAAGGCCTCGCTTCGGTGCTTTGATGCTCGTAACTGTCCGCTGCGCATGGAAAGCCCACGGCAGCTTTGAACCTGCAATATAATACCCCAGCAGCCGTAATGCTCTGAATTAATGTATAACAATTGTTCAAATACAAACTTATTACAACCTGTTTCTTTTGTTTGTCATTGAACCTGCAGGCCATGACTCTAGACCTGCAAAGTTTTTTTTAATTTCACCTCGACTTGTTCTTGCTGTTTTCCTCTTTGTCGTTGGTTGTGGTGCCATATTTATCTTATGTCTCCTCTCAATCCCACGGGAGCCACACTGCTTCATAATTGCCATCTCTGTCCCCACCGGAAGCTTCCTTGGATGACCTCTGCGATAAGTTGACCTTTGTCTCCTCTTTTCTCGTCTCCTTCCCGTCCTCTCCTTTGTCTGGCTATTTGCCACATCTGTCTTTTGTCTTTTGTTCTGCTCGAGTATTTTCCCACAGATAGAAATCCAGAGGAATTCCTTTTGCATTTCAAACATATCTCCAAGCGTTCAGGCCGGCTCCTACGATACGTGAATGAATGGGCGGAGGAAAGGGAGTTACTGTGGTGTTTTTAATCAGAGTCCCATCAGCGTTTTGCCCACATCAGCCTACTTGTCTGTTCACACGGCTTAACCCCTACCTTCTTCATCCCGGTGCAGTATGCTGAAGTAGGCGAACCGCCTCACTAGTGTGAACACGGGAAAATGTGGTCTGCATAGCGTAAAAGGTGAATAGAGGGCACATGCGGTAACGACAGCGCAGCATATAAGCGAGTTCACAAGCTTTCTGTCAGCATTTGCATACATTTAAGGATTCAGCACTTTTTTTGTTCCCCTCCAATATTTTACTGTCTTGGCGTCGGCAGCGTCGAGGAACAGATGGGCCAAAGCTGTGATTTCTCTTAACGGTTGGCTGTGGCTACATGTGACTGTGAGACATGGTTGATGATTTATTTAGCTTGGGCCCAGCATTCAGAGTGTGCCATGTGTGCTTAGAGACCTGATACTCACTGAGGGCCTGCTTGGTGTTTTTGCCAATGAAACAGCATGGTGCTGGTGGGTTTCACACTTCATAGAACAAGGGTGCCTCCAGTAAGAGGAAGGTGTTGACTACAAAGCATTTGAGATTGAAAGACTAAATGCACTTAGAGCCTGCGTCCCTCATATGCATAGATAATAACACAGTTATTGTTAGGCCTCCCCAAATCTGCTTGCTGTAGTGGAAGTGTTTGTCTTGCTGCATCGCACTTATTATATATTATATGAATCGGCTGCTTTTGTTCTTTCACTCATTTAAGGAAGAAGGGTCAGCATTTCCTCCTCGGTAATTGCATAAGAGCAATGCAAAGAGACAGGGAGACCATAAAATCCAGCGCCCCCTTCCCTCCTCGTACCCCCTGGTGAGACTCTTGTCCGTTCCCAGGTGAAGCCTCTTCTCGGCCTGGGAAACTCAGATGTTTATCTGTCGGGTCTGGCAGATAAGTGGTGGGGAGGAGTTGGGTTTACTACCCCCTCATCCCCTCCCCCTTCCTCCCAGCTCTACCTGACCACAGCTTCTTCAGTGTCTGAAATTTTCCACCAGTGATTAGAGCAATTTTTTCTGGACCAGGGAAAGCAATCATAGGGTAATCATACAGATCCACCGTCATTCTAGTAGATGTATGGCTGATGGATACGCTATGATACACGAAGGGTGGGCCTGTGTTTGAATAACATGTGGCGGAAGAATTCCTTTCCCCGCTTTACTTATGATTAATTCAAATAATGTCTTACGTTTTGCTGCGTTCCTTTGCTTTTTCCAGTAAATAATACAAAATCCTTTCAGTCTGCAGGCTTAAATACTTGCTACATGAATGGAAACAATCAAGATCGCTCAATAATAAAAGAGACGTTGTCATGTGATAAGGGAAAGTCGCTGCAGCTGTAGACAAACATTTATCAGCGGTGCTCCCGCGCTCTGGCTCAGGTATGTGTGTGTGGCCACCACGACATGTGGGAATGGTTAATGGGAGCCGGTTCAGGGCTGCTTCGCATCCTCTCCCTTTGGCGGTTTTTCTTTAGTGTAAACTGTCTCTCGTGCACACAAACATATGGTCTCCCATATTGACAAACAGACTTTGGTGGGAACACCCACCCACTCTTGCACACGTTGGCAGCAGAACAAAAAAAGTGTAGTTTCATGAGCTCCCTTCCTATGCATCTATTGATAATGTTGTAAACACAGGCTGTAGTAATTGTTTCCGTGCTCCTCTTACAGCCACATGAAGGTAATGAGGATGTCTGTACACATTATTCTTAATAAAACCATTCTGATAATGTGGTCGCTCATCAGCCCGAGAGCGTCTCTTCACATTAAAGCCAACAGTTGTGTGTTTTTTCCTGTTCTGATATGTAGCAGAGAGAGAAGAAAGCTAAAGGCTTTCTCTAAAATGTTTCTCATAGCGCCTGTGCTATCAAGAACAGATCTGCTCCCTTTAAAAGGGACACTGAGCTCTTGGTGAGGATTAAGCTAAACCAATTAGCTCACAGTCTCTTCAGATAAATCGCACTTCCTTTAATTTTAAGCAGTCTCACTGAGACATTGATAAAATTTCGCATTTTGCTTCTGGAGGTCGAACTCGTCTGAATGTAATAGCTGCGGAGCGTTCTCATCCTCACTATCAGATCTCAACCTCTGACCTTAGCATCGTCGATATCTCATCGCAGGCTCTCCTCAATGAATTATGAAGGCCTTCCATTAAAGGGAGTGAACTCATGACCCAGCATTAACCCATGCTTAAATACCTTCATCTTTGTATGAGACTTTGTCTTCGTCTTTATCCCCTCCTGAGGGACTTTCGCTCCTCCAAGGTCCCATACAAATGCATGTGTACTGATAGAGGAGAGACCCCTGTGCAAATATAACCCAGTCCTGCAAACTCTGTGGCTGATTAAAACCGAGTGAACACGGTGAGGAAGTTCCCAAACAAAGGAGTTGAGGGGGGGCTGGAAGGACAGAATGAAAACCCGCGGGGAGACCTCAGTGTTTTTAGTGTGACAGCACTTGTTTGAAGGTGTTTTGGAAATTCGTTCTCCTGTGTTTAGTTTAAGAATCAGACTTTTTACTGAGTCTAAAAATAACAAACTGTTGAAATCCTGCTGTTGTTTTATTCTACATTTCTGACTCTGTTTCTTTCGGCAGGAACTGGTGTCCTCATACGGTCACTAAGACTGTGACCTGCCAGGTGCAGAATGGGACAATCCTCCAGCGGGTGTACCGGACATGCCCCTGGCCACAGGGATGTGCAGGAGGCAGGTGAGAAGGCAGAGGCATCTTACCAGTACTGCTACTGTTTCACAATGCTTTTACGAAACCTTTAAAAAACCAAAAATTTTTTAGCACCGTATGATCTGAACTGGGTAGAAAAACTCTCATCATGAAATGTATTCAAGACGTGCAAGTTTCTGCTCAAAACTGTTCCAGTTCCCTGGAATATAAACACTTTGGAAAAACATAGAGTGGGTCTCATGGCTCTTTAGTGAGCCACATGTTTACAACTTTAAAAAGAAGAAAACAGTTGCCTGCTATCAAAGCAGAAAGCTTGGTGTAATGTGTAATTTTCTGTTTTTTAATTATACTGGGATTAAAATAGCAGAATAGTTGTTGTTTGAATGCTGTTTGAATCACTTAGAGGATTAGCTTTAAAACTTGTTACTGGAGCTAATGCTCTATTAAAAATCATATTAAGTTCAATCATATTAGCATACATAGCATATATATATATATATATATATATATATATATATATATATATATATATATATATATATATATATATATATATATATATAGCAGTGGTATTCATATAGCTCTCCTATAATTAGCATAGTTCAGGATGCCACGCTGCTGCTCCATATGCTGTCTTTTAATTGAGATAAACCTAAAAGCTTTTATATAATCTGACACTTACTGATGGGACACATTGCCTAGAAATTTCTTTTTATCATTTAATTGAGACTGTGCGAATACAAAGACTGAAAACCTCACGATAATATCTAACCTTACCAGAGAGAGGAGATTTCCTTTCATTTTCCTTTAAAAATGTTATGTGTGTGTGCGCGCACGCGTGTGTGTGTGTGCCCATGTGCGTAACGGCTTTTGATTTTGTGTTTATTGTTCAGCTACAAGACCGTGGTCAGACCTTCCTATAAAGTGGTGTACCGCACTGTGACTTCCCTGGAGTGGAAATGCTGCCCGGGATTCAGCGGTGCTGCTTGTGAAGAAGGTGAGTGAAGACAGAGGACGCAGACACACTTCAGTTATACAACAGCTGACGGAAATGAATCGAACAGAATCGCCATCTTGCACTGAAAAATGATCGCAAGTTTGACTCGTGTCAGTAGCCCCCCCCCCTCTTTATGAGTCTTTGACTCGTCACCATTCACGTCCCTCTGGTTTGCATCGCCGTCTTAAAGCCTGCATTTCCAATATGCTTGTATGAGTGATTTCCATTAGGCTTACATAAGGCTACTTCTGTTCTTTGAATGAAATTAAGAAATAAGATCCCCCAGCATCCCACCACTTTATTAATCACTTTTTATGTCTTCATTCCAAGAGTCGCAGCACCAGTAAGGCTTCCTTCTTTACTGCGACTTTGAATTTTATTTTGCAGATTGAACTGAGTTTTTTATCCTCAAAAGAGCTATGCAAGTGCCGTTTACATTTTTAGACCACGGTAGCTGCCCACACACACACACACACACACACACACACACACACACACACACACACACACACACACACACACACACACACACACACACACACACACACTCCTAGTTCATAATGACTTCCCCTGGCACCCGTCCTCAGGTTTCTGCAGTCTGGGGAGAAGGGTGGAGTGGTCTTTTTATGCTGGGAGCCAGGACTTGAATGGGTGTAACATAAATTAGTGGACCGTGCAGCACAAAGGGTTAATGCGATGGCCTTTTGTAGTGCCGAAAATAGAGGCTGTTTTTCTCTCTTATACTTTGAGACAAAAAAGGAAAATTTCTACCTGAAACTCAGTGAACAGAAAAAATTATTTTTTTCAGACTGATTATGGTAAACACTTGATCTTGTCCAATAAAGTGGGTTTAAAATAATCTGTTTAATTTATTTACTCAGTAAATGGCTAGTATTCCCACTTGAAGTAATTTGGTGATCACAGTATGCAACAGTGTTGTAATGCATTACAGTTCCTCCATTCAGAAGTCAGAAAACAACACACTTGACCTCAGTTCAGATGGGAAACAAAGCAGTGGCAGTCTTCTTTTGAGGAGCATAGATTAGTAAAGGAACATCGCGATGGTAAACGGCCGGCTCTAGTTTATGTTTTTCTCATTAGGAGAGGAATTTGTGCAGATATGGGGTATAAGCGGGCTGTAATGTTACTTTATTAATTACATGACAATAACTGTGTAATATAATGTTGAAGTAATTTAAGAAGTAGGCAGAAAATTATTTTCTACAGGGAGTTAATAGGTAATGCATTTGTTGTAGTAACTGTAGTAACTAATGACTGCTCCCAGGTGCTTTCAGACCTTCAAGTGGCCTCTAGTCTGCTGTAGTGTGGCTTCGACTGCTTGCTTGCACTTGCACACACCATCCCACCTTGGATATCACACTTGTTTCACACCCTCCCTACTGTCAAAGTCAAAAAACACATTCACAGTCAGACAACGCAGACTTTACCCAACAAAGGCAGAGGAACACACAGTGAAACGGGGAGGAAATTATCCAATTAAGTTGTTGCTGGAGGAGATTCCCCTCCGGTTGTCATGGCAGTAGGGGGCTGTCGAGCCGACGGGGATGTCGGGATTAGCCACTTATCTGAGCCTCGTTCCGGGTGGCTCAGATCACAGGCGGCGCTGAGTGGAAGTGACAGGTCCCATTCACAGGGCCTTTACTCTCCGGCACCATGGATCCTATCCAGGGCCACCAGTGCTTTGTTCTGCTCTTGCCGCGTGAGCAGAACCCCTTGCCAGCACAGAACCTGATACCCCGCTGCCGTCTGCCTCGTCCGCCCGCTCTAAGGAGAAATGCAAGCCTGCCACACGGGCAAAGCTGGTGACCGGATTGTGCTTAAAGCTGTTGCCACAGTGTTGCCAAGTGAAGTTAAAGCTGCACTAATAATTCAGTAGGTGCACGGTTCAAATCCAGGCTGTTAATACCTGCGTGCGGCTGTTTCCAGATGGCTGTGAGCACTTTTTAACTTTTAGTTGGACTGAGTTGAAAGACTCAGGCTTTAAAAAAACAACTCTAAACAAACATACTACTTTTGATCTTATTTGAGTCGCATAAAGAGCAACCAGGATGTATATACCTTTAAGGATCACTTTTGGAATTTTATTATTTGCTATACATCACTCTTACTCCTCTGCTTGTCTGCTTTTCACAGACTGTGGAAAATGTGTGTGATCCGCTCATTTACTGCCCTGCTTTTAACCTGCTTTTCCCACCAGGCCACCCCAAAAAGCCTCTAGCCATGTCTGACTCCCAAGGACGGTCTGCATTTCTGCAGATCTCAACAATGTCCAAAGCAAAAAGACTCTGGGGCTGGGGCTACGTTTAGGTTGAGATGCAGGAAAGTACAAAAAACACTGATAGGAATGTGACCGATATGATTGTGCTTTAAATAGGGATGAGAGAGTTGTTTTCTCTTGTGTTCCTCTGTTCTCACCCCTTGGCCTGCCAGCTGATAGGTCAACATGTATAAATCAACGGCTTGGTCCGTAGTGAAGATAACGAATTAAGTTTTGGGCTTTGCGTGTTCAAATCTACAGGCGCAAATAAATGAGAGTTCATTAAGGGAAGAGATCATGCATGCTGTCATCGAGTCATAAGCAGGCTTATGAGGATTTTTGGCATGTCGCATTAGGAGGCTCCAAAAGCAAAGCATTACATCACACCCATACGGACACACAAACGTACCCTATCAGAGTCCAGGCAGGGTAAGATAACACTGCATTAGACAGGCACCTTTCACATTTGCTGTCTTTTTCTTCCTTCCACACCCCAACCTCAGGACTTGGCTTGAATACCGGTCCAATGGTGTAATTACTGGGTCCTAATTGTTTTCTGTGAGGTTTGGGAGATATTGTCTTACTTCTTGGTCTGGAACACAATGGTCTTTATCTCTGATTGAGTCTGAGAAAGAAAAAAGAAAAAGAAGACTAAGTATTTACAGATGTAGGCACTTTCATAGGCTGCCAGAAACGGGGATTTAATGTATGCCTGGTTGGCTTTGGCATTCCAAGTAAGTAAATGCTTGTTTTTAGTTGGGATATCCCAACATATGCTACATCAAGCACAAATATCAAAATTATACCCAATTTAGAGGCAATTATGTGGTATTAGAATATCAAATTTACCCCTCAAAAGTAATATTATTACATTAGCTCTGGCTCTAATGTAATAATTATCTGAAATGCTAGTGTTGCACTGATACCACGAGGGGTGACTGTGCGCTCAGGAGCCACGGATGTAAAATTCATTGACATTTTGAGCTTTTGGCCTCGATCTGCTAATTTTGATGGAGCCTGAAAAGTGTGGAAATGACACTAAGAGACAGGCGTTGATATACTGACCCTGATTTGATTTATTGAGGAAAGGCCTTAAAAGAAAAATAGCTGTGGCTTATCGCAGGGGGGAGGCCGCTGAGGAGCACAGCATATGGGGGAATGTAGACTTGAATTAGCACGGCTGTCAAAGCTCTGCCACGGGGGTCCCCATCAAACAGTATCTCGCAGCCAAGCGGAGGCTGTGGTTTTTGGGTTGCAATTATGAGGTGGCTGGGAGGCAGAAGCCCGCTGTCTTGTAATAAGCCATAGAAATGTAATCTGTGTTTTCACAGCTCAGGGCGGCTTATCACAAACCCGCATGCTAAACCCCGTGCTTTAAACATCAGTCGGCTGCAGCTTGCCATTAGCAGAGGAAGAGTGGGAGTGCGTGGACGCCGGTGTATGCGTCTATCTGCCTGCCAGAGTCAACGTGTGGGTGGGAGAGCGAGGCGTTGAGGATTTCTATGCAGCTGTTTGCTGTGATTAGCAGCTTTAATGGCAGCAGGCTTTTTGGAGCTGTGAGTGTAGGGACTTCAGCCTGAGGTCAGAGGGGAGGAGGCTGAGCAAGAGCAGGTGACCAAAAGGCCCCCCCATCACCAGCACTATCACCCCACACACTCCCACTCCTGCTAGACCACACAGTGGAGCGCTATCAAAGTCATATCAAGCAGAGATCCCCTGCGTTTGCCTTAGCAGGTGTTACACATGTTATCCTTTACTTGCTCCAGTTCATTCACAAAAAAAAGAAAAATCCCAGACTTGATGTCAGTCACCCCCGCATCAGCGTTTATGCACTCAGCAGATGAGATCTACAAAGACGCATGAATCACTTGAATGTAGCGAGGCAGGCTGCAGTCAACGTGCAGAAAAGGCCACAGCAGCTGATATTCGCTGTTATGTAAATGACCAGCACACAAGTGCTGAGCATAAATTGGAAGCAGCTGACATTAAGCAAACTGGGCTGAGGCTTCCAGAAGAGATTCGGCATCCAGCCCCTTTCAGCCGACACTGCTCGGCTCTGAGGAATTATCATAAAAGTGATTAAGTAGAAAGAAAAACACAATCATTAGCTTGCTTTGTATTATCTGTATGTGATTAATAGTAACAACTCTTTGGTTGCTGTTTTAAGAACTGGCCAGATGTAAATTAGCCCACAAGTATGGCTCATTTACAGTTATTTTTCTGTTGATTAATGAGCATGTATACCTTTTAAGCAAACACATATATACCTGCAAAAATGACCAATCAGCCAACTTAAATAACAAAACCAAACAGAGTAGGAAGGTCTTTTTTCTTTCCTCACGTCCGGCCTGTCTTTCCTTCCATGCTGTCTTCTCCTTATGTAACGGTGTGCTGGTATTTGCTCAAGGTTTGTGGGGAAAAAAAATCCAGAAAATTATAGTTAAATCAGTTGCGGGGTTTGGTAGTTAAACTGCAATATGCACTGATAATTTTGATAATATTATTACAGCATTATTTTTTAAATGTCCCATGAAAACCACCCTCAGAACACACACACAGACACACACAGTACAACAAAATGCTTTCAGGCTGTAACAATAATAGTCATGAGAATTATAATTATAAAATCCTATGCTCTTGTTGTTTTTTTTTCCTCTGCGTACAAAAAAGTTTCGATACAAGGCGAAAAAGACAAGCACACAATGGCAGGATATTATTTTAG